CAGGGTATGCTTTAGGGCGGGGCTACCTTGTGATTGACAGCTCATTCTCAGTGAGTCCGTCCAGCTCAACGCACCAAACTCAGATCAAACTGTCAAACAGTGCTGATCCTGTGTGAGCAGGAGAGCAGCCAATGAGAGCAGCTCAACTTGCTTTACGTGACCTCCGCTGGCTCCAACTAACTGCTAACGCTAGCTCGGCTAATAGCTGATTGTTACCAAAATAAAAGCTGTCGTCTGTTCAGCAGTTTGACACGTTACTGTTGTTTACAGTGAGATATTATTGAGTTTCATAACGACTGAAACAACTAGTTTTATTTCAAATGAAATCAGGCTGCTATTTGTTATTTTAAAGTAGAAAAGTTACACAATGTTGTTTTATTCTCAAAGAACAAAAAAACAGCTAAAATTTATAAAGAATAAAAATTAAGCTGCTAAAAGTTCTGTGAGAAAAATAAAAAAGCTGCAGCAGTTTGTAATAACTGAGCCGTGTTGTTTCTTTCATGAGAATATTTAACATTAATCACAGTTCACATTACAAAGACTCTTTAGTAGCTGTTCTGGAACTTTTGATCCTATCACATGATCTTCATCAGCAGATCTTCTTGTCACATCATTGTAGATGTTTGAACTTTTTTTATGGACATTTTATGTATCAAATATGAGCTTGAAGCTTTTGTAGGACTTAATAAACCTCCGACAGTCAAACTCCTTGTTAACGATGTTCTCTGATTGGTGGAAACTCTGATTTCTGTTGATTTTCCCACATTCTCGATGTTTGAGTCTCAACCGTCAGAATAAAAGTAAAGCTGCTCTTTGTTTAAAAATCAATTCATCTTCCGACAGGCTGCGACCTGCTTCTACCTCAATTTGTACCTGGATTATTGGAAAATACTGAAGCAGCCGCAGGAAACAACGCTCATAAAGAACTTTATTATATAACAAAACTCACATTTTAAATATCTGACAAGTTCAATGTTGAGGATATTTACAGTTTCACTGCGTTAATAATAATTATGAGACGTGTTCAGCCTGAAGACATGAGGTCCAAACTGAAGACGTCATTGATCCTGAGTGTGTGTGTGTGTGTGAGTGTGTGTGTGGAAGTGTGTGAGTGTGTGTGAGCATGTGTGTACATGTCGATGATGTAATTGACAGGTTGTAATGAAACGCTTCCTGAACGTTTATCTGCAGGTTCAGTTGGATGTTAATCGTCAGAAGGACAAATACTTTACTTTCTTTTTGTCAGTTTTCTATTATTATTGGAAATATTCTTCTTTTAATGTCACTGCGTTTATGTGGCAGCTTTAGTTACTTAACGAATTCAGAGTTTTACACACAAACACATGAAGAGTTTGTTGGATAGGAAGGTAAAATGTGACAAATCTTATTCTCTAAATTCCACCAGGATCAGGATTTTAATAGTTAAAGTGAAAATGATCCTCTAGTAAACTTTAATCACAATATCTGTCCAAATAAAATCATTGTAAACAGGTTCCACATGGACATTCAGAGACTGTTGGTGTTGCAGCACGAAGCTTCAGAGCAGGTTTATCTTTAGATGTTAACTGTTGGTGCAACAAACACTTTCTGCTTCTTCTTTTAATGGAACCAACAGGTCAGAAAGTGGATTTTATATCCAATAAAATACTTAATTGTTGATTGTTACTAAACTAAAGTTACTATATGAACTGAAGTCATCATTAACCTGCGTCATTAAAGGAGAATAAAACTGTTCAGTGTGTCAGTAGGAGACCTACCGTTAAACTATACGACTGCGCTGTTACAAACACTCCTGAAACTAGTTTATACAACAGCTGAAACAGTTAAACAGTTATTCAGTTAATCAATTAATCAATTAATCAATTAGTCCATTAAATTAATCAGCAACTAGTAGTCCAATCAAATCAGTTTATTGATCTCTAATGCTTTCCCTGTAATCATTTTGAGGTTTATTAAGGCGTCACTTTAACCTAAGTGTTGCGTTCGCAGGTAATCGTGCGTCAGGTGAGCAGGACGTTTGTCTGGAGAAGCAGCTGGAGCGCTTCGAGTGGCAGCTGAGGACGTTAAAGGAAGTGCTGTCGGCCAATGGGAACCCGGAGAGGGCGGAGCTACTGAAGGAGCACGCCGATGAAGAGGTGTGCGCCCTCGTCCTCAGCATCCTCGATAAGGTGAGGAGGTCATACGGGACGGATTTCACTCAGAGGACGTAGCTGATAGCTAACATTATCTAACTCGAGATGAGACTTTTCTTTTATCTTTGAACCATTCTCAGAATGAGGTCGTCTTTACAACATAGATCAGCTTAGCATGTAGCATATCTAAAAATAGGAAGGGAGGAAGTTGAACCAGACCACATTCATGCGTCACAGTCACATATCAGTGATCAGAAACTCAGCCAGAAGTTATTCATAGTCTCGATTTGGCCGAGTTGTCCGGCTCAGACCTTTTGAACTGACACTCTGTGGTCTGAAGTTTATTTTCACACATTTATTAGCAGCTGAGTGCTCACAGGGTTTTTCCTTTATTTCAATCAATCAGTCTGATCTGATCTTTTATCCATTAAACTGAAAGCGTCTTGTCTGATGTGACTTTCAGGTGAAAACGGAGACGACGGCGGATTTGAACGTCCTGCATGAACAGAAAAGTAAAGCTGCTACTGAAGAACACAAGAGAAACATTGAAGGTAACAAACAGGTTTAACAGACTGAGCCTGTTTTAGAGTCACATAACTTTATAACAATACACAGACAATGTTGAATTATTAAAGTTATCTGTCAGTTTATCTGTTATTGTGTGACTCCAAGCTGCTGCAGATGGAGGCCTCTATAATCTGTGAGGTAAAATTAAAAACAAAACAGTGATTAAGAGAGTTTGTGTTGAGCTTCTACAGTTTTTTACTGTTTATTTATATTATATATATATTATCTTCATTATTTCTGGTTATATTTATAATTGTCTCACATTGTCCACCTGAGCAGCACATTGCCTCTATGGCGTGTTGTTTAAATGTAAATGTGAAGAGTGGTAACCAG